TTGTTTGCTGGCCTTTTGGAAAAATGGACCTCAAGCCTGTAAATTCTATGTCCAAACCTACAGGTGAAATTCATAAAAGGAAAGGAAATCCATTTGTGAACATCAGGATCACATTACTCACCAGTCAGTACTTAGGGAGCACTCAGGATGCTGTAAAACTAATGCAAAACAAATGGCTTCATATGTATAATGGGTACTGTATTTCTTGCCTTTATAATGGATGGTGGAGGGAGGGAGAGAATTTGGCACTAAAAAACAAATTAATTTTTAAAAAAGATTAATGCAAAACACATACATTTCCCAAATTGTCCTAGTTCAAGAAAGCAAAAATGGATCTGTGATCTCATTAATTTGTATATTTCCTCTAACAAAGCTAGCTCTTCTCTAATTCTTGTCTACGTTCTTCATAGGTCTGCCACAGGAGGTGAAAAAAAGTCTCTTGCCCAAATTCTGACATAATTGGAGGGGTAACCTAAGAAGTTTGTCCACCAGTATACAGATCTGGGGAAAACAGAACCAAAGGGCCCGTGGGACTCAGAATTAAACAGCAGGAGGAGAGTGTCCTGGGCTGCTTTCAGGATCCAGCAAAGCTTAGGCACCCAAGACGCCAGGAAAGGAGAAACAGGAAGACTAGGAAAGAGCCAAAGAAAAGAACATCTGCATTGGCCTGACCCCTCCATCCATCCCCCTCTTCCTGAGGCTCAGGACTCACAGGGCTGGGCCTCCAAGGGGCAATTCAGCTCCCTGTTAAGGGCAGACACTTTGCTGTCTGCAGAGATGCCCTGAACTAAGGGAAGAAGACCACTGAACACAAGTGAGTTCTGATTCTGCCCCCCCCAGGGCTGCCCAGGCCCGGAGGAGCCGAGCCGGGATCCCAAGCCCACTCTCCCGCCCCTCCAGCCTCGACGCCACACGTGTCCGCCTGTCGCTCCCTTCTGACCTCCCCGTCGGGCCCGAGAAGGAGCTGCTGCTCCCGGGGCCGCGCAGGCGAGAGAACCGGCGCGGGGGCTTCTTTACCCACAAAGTCGGAGCCCAGAATGAGCTCCTCCAGCAAGGGCAGCTTCTGCTCAAAGCCGTCGGCGCCCAGCTCCATGGCCGACCACGTGCGCACTGAGGCTTGCCAGGGGCCACTTCCTGCGGCCCGCCCCCAGGGCGATCCCGGAGACCCTCGGCTTCTTAAAGGGGAAGCGCCCCGCCCCCACCCGCGGGCCAGGGCCCTTTCCCGCCGAGCTACACGTGGGGCGAAGGGGGAGGGGGAGGGGGAAATGGGAGGGGGGAGACTGGAAGACTGAAGGAGGCGGGAAGGGGAAGAGAGAAAGTAGGGAGAGGGGAGAAGGAAAAGGAAGGGGAGAGGAGAAAGCAAGAGAAGGAGAGGGAAAGGAGGGGGAGATTGAAGGAGGGGGGAGGGGTAAGAGGGCAAGAAGGGAGAGAGGAGGAGAGGAAGAAAGAAAGAGGAAAAAGGACGAGGGGAGGGGAAGGAAAGGAGGAGGAAGAAAAGAGGAAGAAGGAAGAGAAGGGAGAGAGAGAGAGGGGAGAGCAGGAGGAGATTGAAGGGTGGAAGAAGGGGGAAGGGGAAGAGGGAAAGAAGGGAGAGGGGTGGAGGAAGAGGACAGGAAGAAGCAGGAGGAGGAGAGAGGGAAAGGAGGGGAAGATTGAAGGAGGGGGAGGGGTAAGAGGGAAAAAGGGAGAGGGGAGGAGAGGAAGAAGCAGGAGGAGAGAAAGAGGAAAGGATTAGGGAAGGAGGAAGAAAAGAGGAAGAAGCAGGAAGAGAAGGGAGAGAGAGGGAGGAGAGGGAGAGGAGAGGAGAGGAGAAGGAGATTGAAGGGTGGAAGAAGGGGGGAGGGATGAGGAAGAGGAGAGGAAGAAGGAGGAGGGAGATGGAGGAGGGGGAACGGGAGAGGAGGGGGAAACTGAAGGACTAAAGGGGGAGGGTCAACAGGGAAGAAAGAGGAAAGGAGGAGGAGGAGGGAAAGAGGAAGACAGAGCAGAAAGGGGGGAAGAAGAGGGGGAAAAGAAGAAGAGTAGGAGAAGAGAGGAGGGGGAGATGTAAGAAAGGGAGGAGGAAGGGAAGAGGAGGGGAGGGGAAGGAAAACAAAGGGGAGAAAGGGGAAGGAAGAGGAAGAGAAGTTGTCTTTGTGTGTCCTTTTGTGTGATCTCCAGCCTGAACCAGATCTGAAAGGACTCTGAAAGGGTCAGTTCAGGTGCTGGGCTCTGTAAACCACTATCCCTTTCCAAATTCTCCACCAGCCTCAATGTTACAGCTATTTCTTTCCATGCCCACTCTGCTGGAATAGTTGGGAAGTCACAAAGTAAATCTGATTGTCTCCAATCTCCTATCATCTGCTGCTTGTAACCCTAGTCCAGAGCCAGTCAGTACTTTCCCAACATGCTCTCATCCTATTGAGGCTTGTCCATGAACTTCTTTTAGCCAGGTACCTTTGCTCTGCTTATAACCTCTTCCCATCAAATCTATCGTAGTGCAGCAGCTGGAAGCTTTAATGCCTCGTTTTAAATACATCCCCTTGCTTTCCTTGTCAAGTTACAGTGCTTCCTAATTGCTTGCTATATGATCAAATCAAGATTCCTAGTATGTGCCTCAGTACTATTCTAATGAAATAATTATAGAATGTAGCCTAGGATATTGGACAAGTCAAGACTTGGGATTAAACCTGGGTTTTCTACTTATCTTTATGGCAACCCAGCAACCTCTTTAGGCCTGATTCCTCTTCCATAAATTGAAGGTCTTACACAAGATAAGAGACAGCAAGGTACAGAGGTCAGAATCCTGAGCTCAGGTGCTTCAGAACTTGCTAGCTGTGTGATCCTGGGAAAGGCATTAAAGCTCTCTTGTGCGTCAGCTAACTCATCTGTAAAATAGGATTCTGTGGTCTCTAAGGTATCTTCCAACTCTAAATCCTAGACTCTGAATAAGGAGATGGGGGGCGGGGGTGTAATCCACTAGGCTGTTAGGTTTTTAAAGCCTTTCATTCCCTAGCCCCTTAGTATCTTTACACTCTTCTCACAATCTGCTACTCTTCATGTACTACAATTCAGTGGCCCTGGCCTCTTGGCTGTTGCTATCACTAGACTCTCTCCATCTCCCAAATCCAGCCCTTTTCACTGGCTGTGCATCTGGGAATACTCTCCCTCCTCACCTGTCTCCTGACTTCCTTCAAGTCTCTGCTGAGATCTCGCCTTCTACAGGAAGCTTTTCCTAGTTCCCTTAGTGTCTTCCCTCTGAGAGTAACATCCATCTACCATATATACGTCTTGTCTGTACATTGTTTACCTTCCACTTTAGACTGTGAACACCTTGCAATGGAGGACTTGTTTTTCTTTCTTTGTATCCTCAGTGCTTAGCTGTGTCTGGCACATAGTAAGTGCTTAATAAATGCTTGTTAACTGACTAGAATCTACTTGGAAGATAAGATCACTCCCATGGAGCTTAACTATCAATTAACATTAAACTAGCCAGTAATGCAGAGTTCAACAATTCCCTTCTCCTTGCTTTCCTAAACTAAATTCGAGGTCAGAGCAATAGTGGAGACCAGTATGGGAAAGGTCCTGTGGACCTGGAGTCATGAAGAAGGTTCAAATTCCCCAGACTTATTAGCTGTGTGACCCTAAGCAAATCACAGTATCTATGAGCTTGTTTCCTCAGCAGTAAAATGAGGATAATAATAACACCTACCTCACAGGATTGCTTTCAGGATCAAATGAGATTATGTATAAAATGTATGTGTATACATATAAAAAATAGAAATGTATATATAAAATATATAATAATGTATAGATAAGCACTCTGTGGATCTTAAAAGTCTCTATAAATGTGAGGTATTTTTTTATTTTCCAAAGGAGTTTGCAGTAATAGACATTAATGAATCCTCACCATGCAGCTTTGGTAGCTAAATGGTCCAGGGAAGAGGGCTATGCCTGGAGGCAGGAAGACCTGAGTTTGAACCTGACCTGACACTAGCTTTGTGCCCATAATCAAGAGTTAACTTCTGTCTGCCTTAGTTTCCTCAACTGTAAAGTGGGGATAACAATAGTACCACCCTCACAGGGTTGTTGAGAAGATCAAATGAGATACCTATAAAGTACTTAGCAAGCCTGGCACCTAGCAGGCACTTAATAAATGCTTGTTTCATTCCTCCCTTATTCTTCCCTTTACCAGGAAAGGAAATTTCCTTTAGGGAAGGAATGAGGCAAGGGGACTATTTCTAGTCAGAGCCACTAACATATTCAAATGGAGGAAAGCCAGTGTGGTAATGACTCTATACAAGACCTTCCATTATTTTCTCCCAGATTTTTGGATCTAATCAACTCACATCATATCAAATCGAGTTTGGATTTGCCCAGCCAGGCAAACTTACTTTGTGACCCAGTAGATGCCCTCATCTTCTTATGTGCCCTTCCTCCTTCAGAAAATGCCTCTTCTCTGATCATATTCTTACCCTCTTTAAAAATGAGATTTCTTCCATAATTACTTTACCACCTCTAAGATCCAATCATTTCAACATAGGATTCCTTCAACACTCCAGTCCACACTGTTTGTACCTGTTTATTTTCTTTGCTTATGTTCCTAAATATTTTTTATTTCTTTCTCATCTCTCCCTACACTTAAGAGAAAACACCATACCTACCAGTGTCTTGGTATCAACCCCAGAATTTAGTAAATTAGCTGCACAATATTTAACATTAGTATATACCACTGTGAAAAATATAAAATGTTTCACATAAGTTCACATTTGATATTCACAAAAATTCTGAGTCTGGCAGGGTATTATTCCCATATTAAAGATAAAGAACTAATTGACAAAAATGTCTTCAAAATATTTAACAATCTTCTAATATTTTTTAATCTGTGAATTACAACATTTAACTAATACTTTAAAATCAGCCAGATCTCATGCTTGAAAGAGAATGTGTCTGAAAAACAACTAAAATCAGAATCAGAGGAAAGCTAGATTTAGCTTTAATAAAATAGTCACAAAAGAAAAAACCATTGAAAAACTGTCACATTTATTATACTGTAAAATACCAAGATGATTATCCTTCAAGTTCCTGTCTCTTGATAAAAGGGTTATCAGCTGATTTTTTTAAAATTAAAAGTAAAAAAAAATTAAATTTTTTATTCATAGATTCTTCGGGGTTCCTGTAACACCACCCCACCTTCTTTCATGGCATTTTGTAGTCGCTGTATCTGGTTTTCAGATAGGGAAAGAGAAAAGTAGATTCAGTTAGCACTACATTAAGGTTCAAAAAGAAAATGATAGCATAAAGAAAATATATCTATTATTGTCCCAAAAGAGAAAGCACTTAAATAAAACAATACCAGCAACTTGCAGTAATTTTTCCCATTACAAAGAAGAAACAACGTTATTTTTTAAGGAATATATAATTAGCACCTACTATGTATAAATAAATTGGTCTTAATAATAATGGACTAACGTAAGTGTGCCAAAGACCTTTAGTACCTTGATATATAAAAGACAAAGTACTTATCAAAGATAAATCCCAAAGTCCCAAATACTGGGACTGCTGCAAGGAAAAGAATTCAATATACAGCTCCTCAACCATATCCAAAAGCAATTCACTTCAAAACTGAACATACCGATTCTGAGGATGATTCCCAAGAAGTGGGGTAGAAGACCATGAAGTTGATTCCAGCCTCCAGGCACCGCTGAGCCAGAACCCTTCCGATATTTTCACTGGCATTAACACTTCGAGTTCTGTAGAGGTGCTTCTTAATAGCCCATTCTCGGGTGGATGCTGAAACTGCAACATCCCCATTATGATGCTCAACAAATGCTTCTATGTGGTGCTGGGTCCGATGAACTTGCAACCTGGAGGAAGGAGAGAAAAGAAAGATGAGGTAATGAAACAGACTGTTTAATTACAAACTCTAAATTTCATTTCAGACTCCCTAAAATATTTGACTTATTAAAGAGCTGTTGTTTTAGGAATGATGTATATTGTCATTTATTGCAATGATGCTTGACTTAGATTTCCTCTAAAAGAATCATAGATTTGGAGCAGGAAGAATTTTTTTTAAGAACATCCTGAGTATTGGGATCGAAATAAATTACTTCAACTCAGAAATTACAGCCATGGATTTGGAAGAGAACTTAGGGATGATCTTGTGTGACCCCCTTCCTTCAACAGGTAAGAACAAAAAAGGATGCTCAGAGAGACTGACATCATTTTGGCTTAACTAGAATTAAGCTGCTAAAGCAGGTCAAGATTACATTTTCCACACTCTTATATTCAGGCTGATGAATACAAAATGACAAGAAATCCTACTTCAGGCATAGTGTCTTTACGTACTGTCCCGTAAAGTAACGGATGCTCTCAGTAGGACAAGCAGAAAGAAATGGAAGGACAGGGTGGAGGTTTCAAGGGAGCCTCCCGACATCCATCCATCCTTCCGGCTCGTTCCTCACCTGCAGGCGCTTTGTGCCCACCGCCACCTGCTTCCCTCGGGTGCCCCCAGCCCAGGCTCACCTGTGCCAATAGGCTCGGGGCGGCCACACGGTGGCCCAGCCCCGCTCCTTCCGGGCCAGGGCCAAGCGCTCCAGATTGTGAGGGTTCCGGTTGGTGAATTCCGGCGCGATCGCCTCATTTTCCTTCGTGTCCCCCTCGGGCGCCGGGGCCGGGCTGGGGCTAGTGGTGAAGGGCGCCAACCGAAACCCTGCAGGAAGCGGAACGAAGTGGGGGGAAAGGAAGCAGGGGTGGTTAAAGAAGCCCACCTAACCCGCAGAACCCGGAGCCCCGCACTGCGGGGCCCGAGAAGAGCAATTAATGCTACTCGCCCTCCTCCTCCCTCCCCCAGCCGCGGGCCTAGCCCCCGAGCTGCAGAAGCAGGAGCGCCAAAGCGCTGAACTCCGTACCCGTGGTCCCCTATCCCCACCACCAGGGTGGCTGATTTGCCGGCGAGTCCCGTGGGCCACTCCCGAGAGAGTTACTTCGGGGTCATTCTGAGGATCGAGGCCTCGGTTCTTACCGGGCTTCCTGAAAAGAACCAACAGGTCCCGGCCCCACACCCACAGGGCCATGGTGCCGATGACCTTCGGAGAAGCGGCCTCCGGAGAAGCGGCCTCCGCGATCTGCTCCGTATGGCTCAATGGAGCATCTGGGACTCCCTGGGCGCAGCCATGTTGGTTCAGGGCAAAGAGCCTTGGGAATACGGCGCATGCTCATTAACTGAAATGAGCGCGCGACACCGGCCAAAACAAAGATGGCCACTTGCCCTGAGCCAATCAAAAACAACTCTCTGTTTCTCCTTGACTTTTAGGGATGTGTGACCCTGGGCAAGACAGCCAGGCTTTCGGTGTCCTGAGCGATTGTTTAAGACCGCAAGAGTGGATGAAGGGTCAATGCTACACCAGACTATCAAAGAGATACTTTACAGAAGTCGACAAAATAATAACTTATCTACAGAAACAAAAAATCAAGACTATCATGGGAAATAATGAAAAAATGTAGGAATGAAGGCAGAATAGCATTTTCCAACTTCCAACTGTGTTATAAAGCAGCAGTCATCAAAACTTTCTGATACTTGTGAAAAGATAGAGAAGACCTCCCTATGTGACACCAACTGCTGAGAAAACTGGAAAGCAGCCTGGCAGAATTTAGGCTTACATCAGTTTCTGATGCCATCATAAACTCAAAATGGATACATTACAATATTAAAGGTCATACCATAAAAAAGTATAAGATAACCACAACACATACATCTCACAGCTACATGTAGGAAATTTATTTTTAACTAATCAAGAAAAAGAGGCAATTACAAAAGATGAAATCATTTTGATTACATTGGTCAATCAGTCAAGAGTCAATAAAGACTGAACACTGGCTTATAATAAATTAATGCGATGCTCTGTACTAAGAGCTGGAGATACAAAGAAAGTAAAAAAAAGCTGTCTCCTCTCAGAGTTCACAGTCCAATGGGGGAAGGGGGAGACAATTTGTAAACAACTATGTACAACAAGCTACATACAAGAGATATTGGAGTTAATCAAGAGAAAGCCACAGAACAAAAGGGTGCTCCCTGTAGAAGGTGGGACAGGAAGCCAGGGAAGCCAAGAGGCAGAGACAGGAGGGGAGAGAATTCCAGGCATGGAAAACCACTGCTAGTGAAAATACCCAGAGGCAGTATCTTGTTTGAGGGCCTGCTAGAAAGCAAATAAATAGAAAAATAGAGCATGTGGTGGGGGCATGCGTTAAGACTGGAAAAGCAGAAGGGGGCAAAGATTATAAAGGGCCTTTAATGGGAAGCAGAAGGTTTTATATCCAATCCTGGAGGAGACAGGGAGCCACTGGACTTCACTGAGTAGGGAGGTGACATGGTCAAATCTGTGATTTAGGAAGATCACTTTGGCAGGAGGTCAATAAAACCAAATCCATTATGTGATACTGAACCATTTGACATCACTAAGGACTTTTTTTCTGGGTCCTCAATATCACTATCTGCTGAGGAGTTGGTGAGAGGGTACCTCCAAAGAACGGGTAGCCAGGTCTGCATCTTCACATGGGTCAGACTCCTGGATGACAGCTTTCCCAGCTAGGTGCAAGCAGGGCCTATGGGGAAGATGGGAAAGAAGAAGGATGGGACACAGCTGTTCTTTGAGGTCTTGGTTTCAGGATCCTAGGCACCTCCACTGAGATCAAACTGAATCTGTGGATTTGTTCCTTAAAAACAAAGAAGGCATAGCTAGGAACAATGAGTAGAAGCTGCAGAGGGGCAGACTTAGTCTTCCTAACAATTAGAGCTATCCAAAAGTAGATCTGGCTGACTTGGGGGATTAATGGTTCTCACTAGAAGTCTTCAAGCAATATACCCCTTACCCAAGATATCATAGAGAGCATTCTTGTTCAACCACAGTTGGACTACAAATCTTCCAATGTCTCTTCCAACCAAAGTAAACTACAAACCTTAACACAAGGAGACAAAATGTGATGTTTGTTGTAAGTATCAGAGACTTGAGGTAAAACCCCATCATGGAAATGGAATCCCATTATATATTAAGAAGAATTATTCATGTGAAGAAATCCAGGAGTGAAAGCAGGGAAGCATGATGGAGAGCACATGGCTGAAGAACAACAAAGGTAAAAACAGTTTTGACAGAAATTATTATGAAATAACCAATTATTGGGGACAGCCAGGGTTTTTGCCCTTTCTATTTCCTCATTCTCTACTAGGTCAAGCCAGCATTTGAAGAACATTGTAGATAATGATATTAAATTAACTTTCTCCTCAGTCTTGTTCAGACCCCACCCAAGTGGGGGAAGCCCATTGTGTTCTATTCAGTCTCAGATGGGGAGGGAGGAGTAAAAGCCTTTGTCTAGATTGCTTGAAGCTGGGGGTGTTCTGGGAGCAAGAGTGATCAGAATCACAGCCCCTCATTTGAATAGCCCTACCTCTCATTATAATATTCATTGTATCATTGTTAACCAATTAATTTAGTTGATTCCTGGGTGTTGGAAACACCCATTCTTCTAAGGGTATATAAGCATCTAGAAACTGCCACAATGGTCTTTGGCATTTGAGAGTGCTACTGACCCCTTTTTATTAATTATCTGCCAGCAATAATTAATAAAATGATTAATTACCCAGAAATAATGTCTCTCAAACTTTTTATAAGTCACAGTATTATAAGCAGAGTGTAATAAATATTTGTTGGATAGAGTTTAACTCATCAATCAACTAGATTTTTAAAAGATGTACACAAGTGTCAAATTGTCAATGATAAAAATAAAAATAATATTGGACTGTGGAAAGACTAGTATACTCATGCTATTGTTGGAGCTGTGAATTGGTTCAAACTTTCTGGAAACACTTTGGAACTATGATAGAAAAAGACACTGTTATTCATATGCTTTAACCTACATAACCTTTAACTCTATGGAAGGAAAACAAAACAAAAACCTGGAAACAAAATGGGCACTGAAGAAATTGCAGCATATCAGAGCATCATAGACTCAGATTTTGATCTGAGATTTAAGGTCATCTAGTCCAACCTCCTTATTAAACAAATGAGGAAACAGAGGTTAAGTTGTTTCGGTCTGAGAGATTGAGACTCCTCAAAGACTGGAGTACAGGCCCGGTCCTCTGGAATGAATTCAAAGACTCAAGCATTCTTTAAGCCAAGGTGGCAAAGATTTATTGTTACACTTTTCATTGGGCAAGGATTCTTAAGGAACCTGAGAGAGACTGAGGATGGAGCTAGGGTTTATATGGAAAAGGGCATGGGAAAGGAATGCCAGGGACACTGATGAAGTAATCCAAAGGTGCAGGTGTCTTTGGGGGCTATGGATGGGAAAGTACAGAGAATATACCAGACAGGGAGGGAGATGACAGAGGTCATCTTTGGAGTCTGGCAGGAGGAAGAATCCTTGGGCTGGCCAAGGACAAAACTGCTTGGGCTGGGCAAGGCACCCCTCTCCCTCTGCCTTGATGAGAGAATGCTCTGCAACAAGGGAAAGCTTTCTCACAAGATAGGAACTTACTAAGGAATTGGGAGGCTTCCAGAGACATGATCTGAGGGCTGGGGCCTGAGCAGCCCAGCACTCTCTCACCCAGCTTTTTGTAGCTGCACCAGGGAGAGAGATAAGGGTCATGCTGGGGCCCATGCATGAATAACTGTTAGGCACAGTGTCCTTGGGCTGGGGAGTGGTTGTCAGAGACAGTGTTTCTGAGACTAGGGAGAAATTGGGGTACAAGTACAAGCACAACCACCCAAGCACCCCATCAAAGTGACTTGCCCAAGATCACACAAGGTTAAGTGGAGGAGGCAGCATTTGAATACAGCTCCTCTAACTCCAAATATAGTGCTTTTCCCACTGCCTTATGTGATGGAATACTTTGGTGGTTTATGTTCAGAAAACCTGGGAAGATATTGTAAATGATACAAAAGAAGTTGTAGAACCACCAGACCAGTAAATACAGTACAATTATGTAAACTGGGATAACTGAGTCTAGGGAAATTTGGTGTGGTAGCAGAGTAAAAGATGGATGGGGAGTGGGGTGTTAGGAAAGGCAATGAGAAATCCTGTTAACAATGATCAATTTGGAGGCCAAGCAAGAAGTAATAAGGGTAACCCACCAATACTGCTATTAGATATTTCCTAAGGTAATCAGTGAAAAAGGGAAAGAACCTATATGCTCTAAAATATTTACGGCCATTCTCTTTGGGGTGACAGAGAACTAGAGACTGAGGGATGCCCATCAATTGGGGGATGTCTGAACAAGTTGTGGTATATAATTGTGACAGAATGTGCTATGAGAAATGATGAGCAGGTTGGTTTTAAAAAAACACCAAAAGACTTGAACAAAATAACGCAGAGTGAAATGAACAGAACCAATAGAACATTGTAATACCAATACTGTTTGAACAGTAACTGTGAACAACTAAGCTATTCTGAGAAATATTATCATTTAGATTAGCTACAAATGACCTATGAAGAAAGATGTTATCTACCTCCAGAGAAGAACTGATATACGTAAGTATGTATATATAAAAATAATGTTGGCCTTCCCGGAATCACATCGGGTTGGGAAGGAGGGAGGGAGATAACTTGGAACTCAAAATGTAACTAAAACAAATTTTTTTTTAAAACACAAGGGTTCTTTAAAAAAAAAAGGGATAAGGGTCTTATCCAGGGTAGTAGCCATGTGAATACGTAGAAGGGGGTAGATGCTGGAGATGTGGAAATAGAACCAATAAGATTTGGCATTGGACTGTGAAGTGAGGGAAAGTTGTGAACAAAGGTGACTGGGAGGATAGTGAAGTCTTCCACAAAAACAGAAAAGTTCAGAAGAGGAGTGGGTCTTGGGGGGGAAAAAACCCAATGATTTCTGTTTTAGATTGCTGAATTATGAGAAGCTTACAAGAACAGCCATTTCAAAATGTCCACTAGGCAGTTGGTGATAACAGACAGGAATTCAGTAGATACTATGCCTGGACTATATATGACTTTTAAAAATAAACTTTTTGACATCTTTTGGGTTTGTATAACCTACATTTCCTGTTATATTATTCCCTCCTCCCCTTTGAAGAGTGCCATCCGTTATAACAAAGAAAAACAGAAAAAAGTTCAGCAAAATTAACCAACACAATGAAAAAGTCTGACATGTAAATAATGTTCCACACACATAGTCCCCTATCTCTGTAAAGAAAGTAGGGAGGTATT